AAAAAAAAAACAAAACCATTTTCAGAAGTTTTCTCATGTGAAAAGCTCTTGCTCACCATCTGTCAAGTTCACTGTTATCTGGCAATTCTGAGCATTACCCAAAGGAAGCATTTAGGGCTATTTGTTTACTGAAGATCTGAATTTAACCAGCTCCAGATAGCTGACTTTAGACTAGGACCAACACACATAAGACATTTTTGTCATTGTGGGTAGGTTTTTTCCGCCCATGCAATCTGAGTGGATAAAACCCAGCTCAAATTACTGTGGTGTTCTGGTTACATATGTTAGTAATTTGTGTGTTTGTTTTATTTTAATTGGACATAAGCAACCAAGGAGCCATGTTTTCTGYTTGGTACAAGCTTTTTCTAATTCAAATTTTGCAACAAGCAGGTAATCTGAATGACAGCCTATTCCAGTATTGTAGTTCTGGTTTCACAAATAAAGGTTAAGCTTCCACATCAAATAAACATAGCATGACAATCTTTCAAACTCTGTAAATACAAATAGGTGTGTGCTTTATAGCTGACAACTGAGAAATACAATATCACACTTAGGTCTCTTGAGATCTCCACATTATGTTCAGGAAGCAAACATACAATGCTGTTTAAAATCAGATTAAAATGTAGTGATCTCTTTCATGTAACATTTCAATATGTTGTGAACTGACTACTTCCAAATATCAAATCATTTATTGATAGCTCCTCATTGCTCAAGTCACAATCTTAAAATACAGTGATTTTGCTTTTTACAGTGATCATACTTTGATTTCTAATGACAGGAAAACACATTTAAAAAAAAAAAAAAAGACCCGAAAAAACCCCCAAGCCTAAAATAAAGCCTAAAACAAGGCAAGAAAAAAATGTATTTTTCATTATTTTTTAAAGAAGGAATTAAGAAGATTATCTTCCTCTTTAAAGAAGGAAGATAATCTTTCCTCTAACCAGAAGATAATGTGAACTTCCACAGAATATTCCTACARTTCAGCATTTTTTACAAGTAGTTATTCCTTTATTGAAAATTTCATATSAGGTAACCAATTCCTGTAAATCAAGGAAATAAATAATAGTTAAATACAATAAACAAACTGTGTTTCCTGCTGGCCACATAAGAAACCTGTGGCAGAGTATGAAACCAAACCTTCACTTCCATGTTCCAAATCAGCTGATCAAGCAATGAACTGTTATTTGCATTTCACTTTCTGTTTAAGATGCTACAAATGTCTCCGAATTTAAGATTAGCATTTGATAACAGTCCAAGAATACATTTTAATAGTTCAATTTATTTCTGTATATTGAAAATCTCTGTAAGAAAACAGAATGTATTTAACAAACTATTTGTTTGTTTACTGCACTGAGTAAATTCCTCATGAACTGAAACAAATTTTCCACCAAAGAACTATCATTATCATTCTCGTCTATCATATTGTTTCCTGACACCTGCTGCGATGAAATGGATAAATCCTCAGATTGCTAGCAAAGGTTTCTAAGATTTAATGTCTGTTTTGCTATGGAAATTACACTGGTCAAATGCTGTCTGGTCACTCCCAAAGCAGCAGAAAACAAAGTCAGGTCCAATAATTTAAAAAAAAAAACTCCACAAACTAGAACAGGAAGTAAACAAGAGAAAGTACCTGGGTCTTCTATCGATAAGTTCTTCGTTAACCATTGAACAATATCTGAACCTAGGAGCAAAACAAAAAGTATTTATAGATTAGTAAATTTTATCTCTCCCCCATTCTTCAGATCCCTGAGGCAATTCATATTGTTCTTCCATGGACGAGATCTACATTTTCTGCTCAGTTTGTCCAGAAAAAAAAAAAAAAAAACTGACCAATGTATTTTAGTTTAAGCTTTGTTTTAGCAGCGAAACATAGCACTTCTTTCTTTAGGCTATGACATAAAAAGTAATAGACATGTATTAAGTGTACAATAGTAGCCTAATTTCTAAAATTACACTACTGCAAAATTTACATAGAAAAACAAACTCTTTATTGAGCTAAGTTTTCAGCCCCCCCCCCCCCCCCTTAAAAATTAGTTTACCGGTAAAAGCCTATTCAATTATCTACATATGTACTACCAATGTATCAAATTCAACCTCATGGCARTGCTCTTGACAAAATTCACTTTTCCCTCGGTGCTAAAGTGCTTTCCTTCCCACTCCAGTCTCCCTTGCTCTCTATCCCTTCATTTACTGCCTATCCTTTTACTTCTGTTTCATTTCCTGCCTTGTTTTAACGTCCCATGTTATTGCTCAYCTCTTAACACTTTTGATACCAGATTTCTTGCTGCCTTTCACACTGAGTATCCTTCCAGCCTCACCTCCTAATTCCTAACCCATCTGCTCCTCTTGCGCATGCACTTCTATCAATTGCACTGCTATCACACTTCGCACTTTATGCCACAAGCTGAAGTCAGCCTTGTTTTTCCAACAGAAAGCTACAGCTGAACTTCACCCACCATGAACATGATTTGCAAAATAAATTATGAAGCATTGCTGCAAAAAAAAAATCATATTCATGATTTAAGCAACTTTAAATAACCAATCTGGCTTAGAGGGAGAATGAGTGAAACACTGACGGATGTTACATGCATGTTCTTCATGTTTCATGATACCTCCAGTTTAGACAAGCAATATAACAGAGCTGTCACAAAATATTTCCTTACAGAATCAATATTTAAGCTGCTCGTCCATTTCCCACCAAGCATAATAACAAAACTTTTTTATAAATTTTAAATTTAAAATTATAATATAAATCTATACAACTTACACAAATATAAACCAAATCAAAACAATAAAATCTCTTGAATGTGCAATAACACACAACATTAGAATGTGGAGCATATTTCCCCTGTCACTCTCTAGATTCAGATTTCTTCCTGTGCTTTACATACTGCATAATTTTCTTTGCTTAAGGCAATGAAAATGATATTTTAAAAAGGCATTTCAGAGAAAAAAGGAAATTTCTTTCTCCTTATAGCCTTCATTTTATTACACTTAGTGATTATCTTTATCATGTATGTTACAAAGTCTCATTGATTATATCATAGCTTTCCATGCATGTATTTATTACTAAATTGATTACATAGCAATGAAAATCTCCAGAGATTTTACAACCACATGCAGAGCAGACATTTTCATTACTATGTTAAATGTCTAAATTTTGAGAGGTATTAACTGCAGTGGCACTGTCTCTCATAGCATTTACGTGGCTTTATTCTTTATATGAGGCAATTTACCTTTGCATGCTCTTGGAGGCGTACAAAATGTTTCAGACACATATTCCTACCCAAAAATATTCTATTTTGATGCATTTTTACAAATATGATTTTAGTCCTTTCTTTATACTGATGAAATTTACGAGGCTGACAGTGAAGGAAGAATTTTAGTTTAATATAAGATGAAACTTCATAAACCTCAATGATGCAATTCCCAGCATAGCCATATTTTTCTGTCAGCTGACTAGAAAAGTTAGTCAGCCCTAAATATTTTCCTAAGTCTTCAAAGATCAAAGACAAAAATTAGAAAAACAACATGACATTTTTGAATACTGATTTTTAACTTTGTCTTCTTTCAAATCTCTCAGGTACCATATGGGAAGAAGTTTTCTATACTTTTCATCTTGCCTTCAAACACTCCTTTCCTTTTTGCCTCTTTTGAAAACTTTCTAACAGTGATGTGCTATATTCCTCAGTCCTCAGCTCCTGGTATCACATTTGTGTATACATGGTATGCACATCAGAAATTTCACCGCCACATGTTCCACTGCCTTTTGGCTTATTACAAATAATAGCGGGAAATTGACTTTCTTGAAAAATTCTGATTATGAAAGGTCATTGCTGTTCTATTCACACCTTACCCTGAAGCCATTCCCCTGGCACATGAAAGCCTGGACAGGAGTTTAAACAAGCTATCACATCCGAATACACTGATGATTTTAGGCGCGTGACTTTAATGACAGATGAATAAATATCAACATCAACACTCTCCTAGTGTGAAGGCTATTCAAGTAAAACAAACTTGCAAGTAATTTGTCATATCGTGAGTGAGAAATGTATCAGTTCGTATTTCTTTGGGAGATCTTGAGGCCAGCCCTAGTCCTAAAGCATAATAAAGGTATTAACTTGTAAAGCTTGCTGGTGGTTTTTTTAGCAACTAGTTTTAACGTCTAATCAACAAAATTGCTTCACTCAATCATTCCTGTGCCCTTCTCAAAGTTTATTACTTATGCAAGTGTGTTTCTAAAAGCAAAATCATTACTCTAATTTATCTCAAAAAAACAAGGCAGCAAAACAGGTGAAAACAGCAAAATACTTCCTGTGAGTATAGCTTTGAAAAAAAACTGACCAGTGAATTCCTGTCATTTTTCATACACCATGCTTCCCATCTATAGGAATTATAATCCAAGACTGTAAAGTTCTTTATTTGTAAACAAGAACTAATACTTGTAGAAGGAAAGATCTTTAACCTTCAAACCTGATTCTGTCTTATTACCAGAAATCTAGCAAAATTATAAGCTACTCAGATGATATAAATTTCATGGAAGGTACCACCTCGGTACTGGACTCACCTAAAAAGGAAAATTTCAGCAATCCATAATAGAAAACGTTTGCTGCATCAGATACTAACTTCTTCTATAGTGTTTAATGTGTGATATCAAAGACCCAGTTATAACATGGTCAAAGCAGATTCTCAAGCTAAGTTCTCCAGGTCTCCTTGTCTCACTTCCAGTAAGCAGCTAAAAGGCAAGTTAGATCTAAAAGGCCAAGCTAAAAGGCCATTGGATCTGCAAGGTACAAAAGACGTCAGTCAAATTGCTGACAATTTTGAATTCYCAGAACCATCAATTGTCATGCCAATTTCTAAAGCAAAGAAAACTAGACAAGGCAAAGTAATAATTTTAAATAATATATTAAAGCAAGCATGAGCAGCAAAGGTTTGAAAAAAAGGGGGATTTTTAGACATAGAGCCTGAAAGTCAAGATTCCTTAAATTCCAGCACCTATCCAGATAAAGGCAATAAAATTCACAGGATCTTTCTCAAGTCCAAAAATAAGATGGACTTTCATCTTCTTTAAAGAAATAGGAGAAAACATGTCTATATTCACAYAAACAAAACTCAGTCATATTCTTTGTGAAATGCACTGTCTGAAAACTCCACAAGTGATTAATTTTAAATGAAACGGTCCAAAAATAGCAGTTGCTGAAGCTGTCACAGCATCTTAAGGAAATTTTTTGAGGAAAGCATGCTCTCTGAACTCTGTAATACTGATTTCCAAGTCAAAGTCTTAAAGGCCAGGATACTGTTAAGATTACCTTTCAAAGATCACCTATTTTAAACAAGTCCTCACAGAATACATTTCCAAAAGGTGGTGGTTCTGACCTATGGAAAATTTCACAGGAATTATAAATCAAATTTTTGCTACATGTAAACACAATGATCCATGTAAACCTTGATCTGACAGAAAAAAAATACAAWACTAATACTGCAAAAGAAAAGCAAAATTCAAAATGCTCTTTTTTAAAATTCAAAAACATATTTAGCAAAAGAAGAGACGGTTGCAAGAAAGCATATTCTATTAATCAAAACCATGAKACCACTGAGAAACTTAACACAATGATTTCTCACTTCTTAAGAGAGAAGGTCCAACCCTGCAAAGAAAATAGTCTTTTGCTGTTAATATGTTGGTTTAGTAACTCAAATCTGTTCTTTTTATTTTTAGAACCACAGAGTATTYGCAGATGATGATGAGGGAAGGTGACACAGGCAGCTCCCCTGCGTTGCTCATACCAAGAGAGAGAYGCGTTTGCTGTTGACAATCAAGACTTTTGCCATCTGCACGCTCAGGAGCAGCACAATCACCATGGTTATGTTTGCCCAGCTCTGTGACATTTGGGCAGCTGGGCTTATTTGGGGCGGAAAGGAAGGAGAGGGTCATTCAGGTGCTCCCTCGAGGGAGCCTCTTGGTCAGCTGGCTCAGCTTCAGTTTTTCATCACCATCAAGCCTTGTGAACCTGAAGAATTCTTTGCAGGCCAGATCACAGTACAGGAAACTTAATAAACATGACTCTAGAAAGTATCAGTATCTAAATTTAAAACAAGACTATTACTAAATTAGTAAGGAAATAGTACTGCATTTCCATTGTTTCTCTTCGTTTCTTATATTGGGAGAGGAGAGAATTGGGTCATTTAAACTTTTGTCTTCAACACCGTCACTCCATGGTGATACATCAGGAAATTAGTCACTGATATATATTCCAAAATCCTTGGTCATGACTGAAAAAAAGATGTAATGTGCAATTTCATTTCTCACCACTGATTCAGATATTGGAAACACAGAAACTGGATGACATGAGCAGGGAGATTGTAAAAGCCAGTAGTCTCTCAGGCTCTCAGCACTAGCTTTTTTTGCATAAAAATTTCTGTCTAATAGAGAGAGAGAGACTCAAGGAACATACACCACATAAATTCTTTCCACCCTATATTTTTTATTTAATAGGTTTTTTTTTCCTCTATTGTTTTGGATTTAAATAAAATAGATTTATAGATTTAACTTGGTACAATTTTATATCATGAGTGCCAACTGAGTTGACACCTTGATAATTTGAATATGCTGCTGATTGCACTTACATATTTAACTTTCTGACCCTTGCTATTTAAATGAGTTGACTTTTTAAAAGAAAA